CAGCTGGGGTAATGTTGGTAAGAGGTTGTCGGGGGTGTGTGGTGAGGTTCGGATGTGAGGGTGTGGTAAGAGGGAGGCGTTCGCGGGAGCGGGATCGGTCCCGGCGGTGGAGGTGTCGAAGAAGAGGAGTTGTGTCTGTTGGTGGTGGCGTGGCAGTGGTGGTCGACGTATGCATGTCTGAGAGGTAGTTGGTTTGGCCTGGTGTGACTGTCACAGTGGGGTCCATGCGATAGTGTCCGGGGGAGCCTGGGGAACCGGGCAGGAATTGAAGAATGTTGAGCCCTCGTTGGGCTTCGTGGGTCGTGTTGATCAAGTGACGTAGGGTGTTGCGGAGTTGTAGATAGAGTCTGTAGGCTGGTGTGTTGATAAACGAGGACATCGGGGGAGTGGGGTCCTGGACAATGGGGTGATGTTGTAGGTCGTCGACAAGTGTGGTGATGGTGCAAAGCATCCAGTAGAGCAGGAGTAACTCTGGCTGGTGTGTGGCTGATGGGGCCATGTAGGGCATCGGGTTGGTGGGTAAGAAATGCCCGTGGTGTGTGGTGGGTGGGTCTGTGTAGATGGTAGCTGTCGTTGGATGGTGGGATGTCGAAGCCTGTAGATCCGCGCGCAGCATTGCATCTCGGAGGGGGCGCTCGGTCATGGGGAGTATGAAGGAGAAAAACGGTTCAGTGAAATGGCTGCGGAAAAGAAAGGTCGACGTTTGCAACGTAGTGAACAATCTAAGTAGAGAACATGAAAATTCGGAGTGGCTGGCGGCGATGTTTTTGTCGCCTGTGCTCGCCGTGGAAAGTCGGCGAGACTGAAATATGGATCAGCAATCGCGGCCGCAGGAGTGTTCTCAAGTGGAGGTGTGAGCAGGGCAGCCGCCGCAGGTCATCAGCTGCAAGGTTGCTGTGGCGCTGAGTGCTGTAGGTGGTCAGTCTGCATGGGCATCACGGGAGCGAGAACGGTTGTCGTTGCTGAGACGGGGAGTTTGGTTGGCACGTGGTGGAGGACCGGTCCAGTAGTGGTGGAAACGTTCTGCATCTTCTGGTGGTGTGCGTGGTGCTGGAGAGGGTGAGCGGTTGGAGAGTGTTTGTGGCAAAGGGAAGCCGGGCGGTGTGTTGTGTAGGGTGGCCAGGTTGCTGGAGGAGAGTCGTGCTGTGGGGTCGATGCGATATTGCCCGGGGAGGCCTGGTCCGGTGGGGACAAATTGGAGGAGCCGGCGAGCGTGGTAAAGGCTGTCAATTAGGCGGTCCATCAACATCAGGTCCCCGCGCATCCGGTAAAGGAGGTTGTATGCTCTGTGGTCCTGGAAGTATGTTTGGTCTGGCATGGGCTCTGTGTGGAGTGGGTGGCGGCGGATGTGTTGGTTGACCATGAAAAGGAGGTCCAGTGAACTGTGGAGAGATTGGAAGTCCGGTTGAGTGTGAATGCAAGGTCGGAGCCAGCTGGGGGGGTCGTCCTGGCAAGAAGTATCCCGTGTCTGTGTTGCTGACTGGTGTGCGATCGCGAGAGGTGGCCATGGGGCTAGTAGGGCGGCTCAGTGCAAGGTGTCACACAAAAGGCTGCGGTGCTGTAATGAGCCTTGGCAGAAGTAGAGAAAATGTGGAAGATAGCGGCGGTAATAAGAGGTTGAAAAAAGTTGAAAAAAGCCAAGCAAAACCGCAAAAAGAGGGGTGCACAAGAAAATCGCATGTGCAAGAATGCAAACTAAAACTTGAAAAGCTGTGAATTTATCCTGCGGCACGCCGGGGAGAGAGAGTGGGTGAAACTGATCAAATGAAATAGCTGCCAATAGGCGTGCCTGGAGATCGCTCCGGATGCCTGTTCTCACTAGGCGCTTGCTCAGCAGCCGGCGGCAGCGGCAAAGCTTCTTTTGGTGATTCTTCTGGTGGAGTTCGAGGTGTTGTCATGGGGGAGGGGGAGAAGTCCGGCTGTGAGGGTTGTGGTGGTGAATGTGCCAGTGATGTAGGAGTGAAATGTGGGTGGGAGAAGGAAGTAGTGGCTGTGTGAAGAGGGTGGACCTCTCAGGATCTGGAGTTGGTGGCGTGGGATGAGGTTGTGTGTTGTCGTGTATATGCTGCAAATCCTGTAGTTCTTTCCATCGGGCTTGGCACTGCTCGACGGAGAATCCAACTCTTCGTGCGACAAAAATCCAATTGGGGCGAAGTCTAGGATTGCCTTTGAGCTCCACCAGGCGACAATCTGCTTCGCCATCCCATGTATCCCAGTCTGCATGTGGGTTGAGTGGTGGCGGTGGTGGCTGCTTGCGCTTGCGAGCCGGTGCAGGTTGTGGAGGAGGGGTGGGTGAAGGTGTGTCGTCTGAGTTGTTGGAAGGTGGTGGTGGTGGGCGAACCCGTGGTCTGGATGGTGCAGAGTCACAGGAGGAGGTAGGGGAAGGTAAGTTGACGGAGTATGTTGGTGGTGGTGGTAGCTGTTGGAAATGTTGGCGGAAAGTGGGATCCGCCTGGCGGATGTGGTGTAAAAAGCGAGTGTGGAGGTGGGCCATAGTGTCCGTTGCTTGTCGGAGTAAGTTTTGAATCTGTGAGAGCGCCACTGTCGTTTGATGTAATAGTGCAGTGGTGTTGTCGTGTGGAGGTGAGTTGGTGCTGCTCATGATGCAGAGGGATAGCTATGTCAATCGGTTGGAACTCCTGACAATTTGTAGCGGCAGCGCGGCGGGGCAGCTGCATGGCGCCGGCCAGCGAGAGCGCGTCATCACGGGAGCACGCAAGCGAATTAATCGAGCGGAAACGGGCCACAAAACGTCAGAAAAATGCATCACGATAAGAGAAGTAACGATGCTGCTGGACACGTCGCATGTTGAAAAGAAGGTCCGGTTGTCATGGTGAAAATCATACAGCAAAGTCCTGCAATATAGAAAATTAAAACTTGAAAAAGCTGCGCAAACGCAAGGGTTGCCTTTTGCTGCTGTGGACGAAGGTGAGAGTGTGGTTGGGTGAGACAAAGGTGGAAGTGTGGTTGCTGGGAGATGCTTGGTGGTAGTGTCATAGGTCAGGAGGAGTGGAGTTGATGGACCATGCCAGTCCTTTGACAATGGCATGGTCAGGGTGGATGACCCAGCATCTGCCTTTCTGGTGAAAGACGGCTCCGTGGTGTTCGTTGAGTAGGGTCATGGCTTGTTCTTCGCCGCCGGAAGTGTATTTGGTGGCGGCGCCCCAGGCGAGGAGCGTGACGATGAGTGAGTGGGTGTTTTTGTGGAGTTGCCAGGTGTTGTGGATGATGCGAGCAAACTCGCCTTGGTCGTGGGGTTGATTGTGGGTGATGCGAACGCCCTGAGCAAAAAAAGCCAGGGTAGTTGGCAAAGTGGAGTGTGCTGGGTAGGAAGCGGCCTTGGCGTAAAATGTTGGCGATGTTGCCGACAGGGCCTGTGTGGCCTGCGTTGATGTGGGCAACTTCTCTGTGGGTGGAAGTGGCACGGGAAACGGGTGGTGGTTCAGGGGTGGTGGCCTTGGTGTTGAGGTAAGGTAGTGAGATGGCGTTGTATTGGAAATGATCCCACTGGTTCGTGGTTTCATTCCACTTGACATGAGTGTATTTGTCGAAAGTCGGTGATGTCTTTGTAAGTGATGTTGCAGTCGAAAAGTAGATTGGCTATGTATTGGTGTTGAGGTCGGTTGGAGGAGTCGAGCTGGTTGGCATGAAAATCAAGCCAGTCGAGGAGTTGTTCTTTTGGTGATAGAGTTGGAAAATTGAGTGGAGGTCGCCAGCGGGTGGGTGGTCGACGAATCACTGGTGTGGATGGATATTTGGAGTTGTCGGTGTTGGTGTTGTCTGCTGTGGAGGTATCTGTGTTGGGTCGCAGGTCGATTGGCTGTCTGGAGCGGCTGCGGGATGGCGTGGGGCTGTAGGAGTAAGTGGATGTGGATGGCGAACGGTGTCGCCGGGAGGAGCTGTGGTGCTTGGAATGGCGGTGATGTCGGCGCCGGCGGCGATGTCGATGGCGGCCGCTACGGTGGTGATCCGACTTGCGCCGGCTTTTGTGATGGTGGCGGCGACTGCTGTGGGGTGGATGGGGGGAAGGTGGTGCTAGTGAGGCAGTGTTGTCTGTTTTGTCCGTCGAGGGTTCTGGAGGCGCTGTAGCCGGTGGGGCTGATGCGATGGACGGTGATGGAGAGGGGTGTGATCCGGTGGCTGTGGTGGCAATGTTGGGAGCTGGAACTGTGGGATCCATTGGTGTCGGTTGTTGGTGTGGTGGCGGAACTTGTGGTGAGTCGCCGATGGCCAGTGGAGGTTGGGATGGCGGTGGAGGCAAAGGTTGGGTAACCGGGGGAAAAGCTGAGTAAGGTTGCCAGATCCCTTGGGGCATGTGCGTGCCTGCTGAGGTGTGGGAAGCGACTGGATCGGTGGGATGTTGGTGGGATCGGTGGGTGGTGTGTGGTGCAATTGCTGAACAAGGTACTCTAAACCAGGAAAGTCCTAGCAACACATCCGGGGACCAGCAAACCCCCATGGCACAGACCGCCACGACCGGTAGCCCGGCAAAGTCCTTGCAATCAAGATTTCCCAATGGCACAGCGTGCTTGATGCCCATAGAAATCACGTATTTTGTATGTGGTTTTGGTGGGACTTCGCATGGCACAGCGCCAAGGAACATGGCTTTGTCATGCTTTGTCACGAACCTGTTTTGGATGGAAACACTGTGGTTTGCATGGCAGGGCCTACTACCTGTCAATGTCTTTCATCCTAAGAACCAGCATGGCACAAAGGTTTCATGGTAACCTGGACATGGTACCCACCGATGGGAAAGCAACTAACCTTTCTGATCCTAAATTGATCTTTGGGTCGAACTGCTTGGCACAGATGTGGTGAGTTCAGGACATGGCCCACCAAACCATTCAGCGACAGCGAGCAAAGATTGTTTTCTCACTTTGCTCTTCGCACCTTGCTGGGTCTCACGAACCTGCACTTCCGGTTCTCTTCCCAAGCTTCCAACCACTTCGTGCGAGCTTGGGTATTCTTGAGGCCACCAACTTTCTTGAGCTCTGCAGACATTATCTTGTAGAGCGGCATTGACTTCCTGACTTGGGGCTGTAAATGCTCTCGCACAAAGAAATCTGCCACTGGCCGCACACGCTCTCGCCTCTCCTTGGAAAAAGAGAAGCCAAATAGTGCACACAGCCATCGCATGTGTTCAAATCCCATTCCTGGTCACTTTCATTGACCTCAGCCGACGGTTCCTTCCCACTGGCAGCAGCTGCGCCGCTTTCAGGTTCTTTGGAAGGCGGAAGCGTTGCTGAATCAGAGGTCTTTTGTTTTTTGGTCCTAGAGCGCAGTTCTGCCAACAAATCTGTCACTGCTTCACGGCTGAAACTTGTATCGCCCTCGGGTACCTCCACCTCTGAAGCACTCTTCCACCCTGACCTTTTGCCATCACGGTGCACCTCATAGGTACCCTTCTCGAAATTTTCATTGGGAATGGAACAGTTTTGACAATACTTGCTTGTTGCCAAGACCCAGACCTGGCACGCCTTACAGCGGGACTTGCTAGGTGAGCACTTCTCAATGACTTGCATCAGGGGCGTCTGCGGCTTCTCGGCGTATTTGTAGCTTTGGATCACCTCGCTGTATCGTTCAACCAAAACGACATCTCTGTCTATAGACCTTCCAGCTTTCAGACCCACCCTTGCCCACCCAGCAGCAGCCCTTTGCTCTGTCAGAGACTCTTGGGTGATCTCTCTGATTGCTTGAAGGGCCTGGTACATATTCAAGTTGTTCTTCCACTTGCCTTTGAAGGCGGACCAAAGCCGAGCCATGCAAGCATGTGGCTCTTGGTCAAGAGCGCACAAAGCCCGGGTCAAATAACCTCTCAGCATGTACGGCCGTATGCGATGCGTCTCGCACAGGGACAGGAATTGCCACGAGAGGTGCATATATGCACCCCCGCCTGAGTCCATGATGAGCAGGATTTCTTTCTCTTCAACTTTTCTCATGGGCTCAATGAGGCACTTGAGAAGGAAAAGACAAAAAATAGAGCTAGTGCTGGATCCTCCACTGTTGCCCTCAATGCAAGCTTCTGGCCAAATTTGTTTCATGGTATCGTTTGTGCCTTTTGTTGGCACCACAATTCCACACGGTAGGACCACCTTTGAAGGAAGCGGGGCCAAGGGAAGCCAGGAAGTGCAAGTAATGTGTTCCCAAGTGGCTGTCGAAGTCATTGTGGAGGCTTTGTTCTTCAAGCTGTTGCTAATGACTCCTTTCGAGAGATTGTCAGCCCTCTGCGAAAAGCCTTTCTCGTCCACCACAATCACTCTATGGGCTTGGTCAGCTTTGATTCTACCGTCACAATCGGAAATTCCCAACTCTCTCAGGAGTGCTTCCCACTCGTTGTAAGTCTTCGTGATCGTCTCTGCATTGCAAGCTGTTGCTTCTACCGGTGAGCGGGCTTTGAGTTTCGCAACTGTCAGCCACTCACTTTTCGGCTGCGTCGCCTTGACCCACTGTCGAAAGGTCTCCCAACGGCTTGGAACATCAAAGTCGTCCATCTTAGTCGGAGGTCGCTGAAGCAGTGGCTCTACAACTCTAAAGCTGGGGACAAAATAAACTTAAAATGAACAAATGAAGTGAACCGCGCGCTAAACAAGTCCTAGTATCGATGCATCCAATCGGGCCTCTAAGGAAGCAGGATCACCTAGCGCATCATCCAGAACACCACTCTTTTCCATTGCCATGAAGCACAGCGCCCGTCTGCAAGTTTCAACAGACAAGGCGTTGCCATGAGTTGCATGCCACTGGATGAACTGCAGGAAGACACGCTTCTCCGCATCCGACAAGCTGTGCCCCTGGCTTCTTCCTGTACGAAAATTCAAGGGGACTTGTCTGGGCAAAGTGCCTTCGGTCTGCAGCAATTTGAGTATCGATCCCAACTTGTTCCTGTTGATCTTGAGAGGTTGGAGATCTGCACGGATGGAAACTGCATACGCACTTCCACAGCCATCGTCCCCGCGGTGTATCATGGTAGCCAGTGCGCCGTACATCTCCCACCTTCTCTGGTCGTTGGCAACCTAGGACGCATGGAAATGGATAGGAAATCCGTTTCTTGAACTCTCTTTGGGCCTTGTGGGTTTGTGGTTTTGAAAAAGCAAAAACGGACCAAACAACACAAAGAAGTGGCAATGCTTGCGTGTGTCTCTTGCTTGCCGTGATCTTTCAATAGCAGCTTGAGGTCATACGAGGTAGGAACATGCAAAATATCATCATTCTTGCCTTCCTCTGCAATCCCTGCCTTGCTGTCCGCAGCCGGTGTTGAGACATCAAGCAAGGCATATCTCACAGCTGAAAAGGATTCTCCCCACCTTTTCTTCTCCAAGTCCGACTGCTCCGGCCAATGAGATAGAGCATCTGCTTTTGGCGCCCCACACAAGATTCTTGCAGCTTTCTGAAAAACAGTGCACCAGCTCACTGCTTTTGACTTCTCAGTCAAGGCTTCCAAAAAATCTGCATGCGGAACTGCTGCTCTCGGTTGCCATTGTGGGAATAACTTGGCGGCTGCTTCCTCAAGCTTTGTTTTTTTTTGGGGGGGTCTGAAGCTCTGTCCTCTCACTTTTCTCATCGACGCCAGGCTTGGCGTCAAGAATCTCCTCCTCCAATTTCTCTTGCTTTTGCCAACATTCAAAGCAGCATTCAGGAACTGGAGATTTGTTCTCTGACGTCACTGGGCGCGAGCACTGCACACACACAACATTCCGTGCATCTACAGAAAAGTCCTCGGCCACAGCGGCCAGAGATTGTAAAATTGCCCCACTTCCAGACCCAGAGTTTGCGTTCCCATCTGCTACACCCTCTGCATTGGAGCTCGACTGGGGCTTCAACAGCTCAGCAAGCTCGTGTTCAAAGCATTGCTTGCAGTATTTAGGTAAGCAACTGCGGTCACTGTTGGGGATATCCAAGTTGCACCCGCTACAGAGAAACGAGTCTGGTGGAGGAGTGGAAGGCGGTGGCAAAGGTGCAGAAGCATCAGCCTCGCTGGCTGCGCATGCTCCTCAAGCAACCCACAAAACAGTAAACTTTGAGAGAAGTCACTGGGTTTTCGGACGATGTAGCGGACGAGGTAGCGGACGAGGTAGGAACCCTACACCTAAACATGCCATGCAGACATCTCCCCACATGTGCTAACCAAAAGCCTCGGTCAACCCTGAACGTCCTGAAACTTCCGAGAGATCCTGCTTCTTACAAACGACGTCACCGTCTACAATTCGACGTGCCAGGCGAGCGCGGTTCTCTGAAACCAGCAGGCTGGTATCATAGGAAAGACCCCATTCCTCGCACGCCTCCAGCAACCGGGAGTGAGAAAAACGGGCGATTACAGCTTCACTGTACTTTTGGGGAGCCATCAGGCTGCAGTCGGAACGAGAAGCAACTGCAATCCCTCAAGTCTTCTTTGGAACAATTCACGAAACTTGCTCGCAAAGTTCCGACTTCCTAGACAAACATGTCGCACATGTGTACTCAACAAGGAACAGCCAGCTCATGCCTGCCAGGCTACAACAAGTGAAACCCATACGCTTGCTGCTTGGATTGCTGAGAAAAAACAATTTTCCAAGCGCATCAAGCGTCTAAAGGTAAAGCCTTCAGGTTTTTCTGGTTCCCCTAGATTCTGCACAGAATCTACAAATATATAGCCCAGGCTATCCCAAGCTAAACCCTACTGAGCCTGACTCAAACAAAGGTCACACTCACAAACATCCTCTGCTGCAAGCCTCTGACGCTTCAGCGCAGACAGAGACAGCACAGCTTCAAGCGCTCCAGACTCACGAACCAAGCAAGGAGACCGGCTGCATTGCAGAAGCCGGCACGACTGCACACAGCAAAAACATGTTCCACCCCTAGTCAAGCGCTTGTCCGCGCCAGGGGTGCGAAAGTATTCCCATCTCACCTCATGGCGCTTTGCGCCACAAATCAAGCAGGAACCAATGGCGTCAGGAACTCCTGGATCATAGGATCGTGTCGCTGGGTCAATCGCCTGCTCCTTCAACTGCAAGCGCGAAAGTTGCGAGAAGGCTTGAGCATGCTGCTCCCGCAAACGCTTCGCCAGCTTGGCCAATGAAATTTCCTGGGGGAATCGCTCACTGCTGGTGACAAAAATTGATTGTGCCTATCAAGGCTTTTGGCCGTAGATTGGGGAAAGTTGACTGCTTCCTGTACATATCAAGTTTCTATTGAACAGTGCCCCTAATTTCTGGACAGCGTGTTGGAAAAAACCTTAGGCTCCTTCCATGGATGTTCTCAGGGTGTCTTTGTCTCATGACACTAGTCACTAGCCCCCTCTCCTAAAAACGGCGAGCGAAAGCAAAGGAACAACAACAGCAACAACAGCACCAGCCACAACACCAGCACACCGGGCCAAGCATCTGGAGGTTCTACGGGCTGTTGTCGTACAGCTTGAAGCTCCTGGAGGCGTGTAGCTTGAGGGAAGAAGTGAAGCGAAAAACACGAACAAAAACAGAACCCAGTGAAAGCGAACTCGCAAAGAAGCAGCGTCAGCACCAACAACATGACAGGTACACCAACAAAAGCAAACAAAGAAGACACAAGGAAGAAACGAACTACGAGTACAGTGTCGAGTCTCGACTCCCGATACCATGGTGGGTGTGATCAGGGCTTGCCACAAAAAACTTCTTATGACCACTAAGAACGATACATAAATAAATACAACAAAATATATATATATAATATATATATATATTAGAACTATAGTGCCTGGTCATGCAACACATAGAGATCATCTTTCACCAGCTGCCTCTGGTAATGGAAGAGACCCAAGCAATAACCCCATTAAAGGGCAGAGCTTCCTCTGACAATGGTTAGATGGGACAAGTTGACACGCGATGCCGAGAAAGCCCTGGAAACCTTCAGGCCAAATCCTTGGCCACTGACTCTGGTGATGCTTCCCGTGTTCTCTTCCTCTGCGGCGTCTCCATTGTGAAGCAATCAACGGAGCTGTGGCCACAAATCTTGGGCCAAAGAAAAGGCCAAGCACTGCATATGTCAATCCCAACAAAACCATGGTTCCAGCCCCAATGGAGCAACCACCTTTTGAAAACAGTGGACCCACAATCGCAAGTGACTTTCCCCATGTAACAGAAGAGCATGGGTTGCCTATAGAAGCATCTTGATGCATAGCTTTCACCAATGGCACACCGGTTTTTGGTCAGATCTTCCACATGATAGGCCTCATGATGGGGGTAAACCCAATGTACAGCACGGTGTTCAATTCCGAAAGGCACAGAGACATTAGACACCAAAGTGCTGCATCAGGTCATTATATAATTCAATATCATTGCTATGGTTTCCTTTAAACTCGAAACACAAGCAGCACAGAGTTCGCAACGACTTTTGAAAATAACAAATCACAATGGTACAGGCTCAAAATCATGAATTCGCAACGACTTTCCTGTTTGGGAGTAGGAGGGGGGAGGTGCCGGTCAGGGAAAGGTGGGTGGTGGTTGTGTGGGTTGCGGTAGAGGTTGAGGAGGATGCTGCACAAGCGTCCAGGCGGAGGAATTGCCATAGGGCATTGTGGTTGGAGTTGGAATGGTCATGGGTGGTGGATGGAGCTGGAAATGCTTGATGTTGTGGTACAGGGTATGTCGAGGGTTGTGGATACGGAAAGGTTGGTGCAGTGTGTGGCTGTGGCAGCGGTACTGTCGGTTGTGTTGGTGCGGTGGGCAGTGGCGGTGGTGTGGCATGTGAGTATGGCCAAGGATACTGCATAAGGTTGTCGAGGAAAGTTGGTAAAAAGTCGTCACAGCGGTATACAAAGGTCGGCTCAATGGCACGGCGCGGCAGCAACAGCGCGGCGGAGATTGTAAAAGGTGTGATTTGTCATGGTGAAGGTCGTACAGCTCATGTTGAGGAAAAGTGTGTTTGTTGTAGAGTTGTGAAAGTTGGCTTGATGTGGAAAACATTATGTAATGCAGTGGTGAGTTCATGCATATCGAATTAAATCTGGAAGCTCAGGTTTGCTAGCTTGAGTTCTGCATGCGGAAAAGTCATGTCAAAAATGCAAAAACTGCACAGCACTACAGAAATGGCTGGAGAATCAATTCCCGTGGTGAGGCTCGGCAGCCTTGATGTCGGTTAATTCAGTGATTGTGTCAGTGACTTCCGGTGGAAATCCCGTGAAAAGTGGTGAGTTCCGTTAATGATTTCCCAATGAAACGGCGCCTCCTTGCGGAGGATCACACTCAGCACCCGAGTGGGACGGCTGAGCGAAACACACTTCGACAATTGTATTCAGTTATCTCGATTCCCACGTTGAGAAGGATGGCGAAGAACCGCAAGGTGAAAGAGTCAGCTGAAACAGTATGGTTGAACATGGTTTCCAAAGGTGCAAGTCTGCGGTCGGCGGCTGGCTGCAACTCACGATCGGCTGAAAAATGCGGTGGAAAACCTGTTTATGGGGAAGGTAGCATGGGAACAACCATGAAAACAAAGAACAGCGGCGAGGGGAACCAGTGGAGTCAGTGTGTTCAGCGCAGGTACGTCCAGAAGGCGTCCCTTCCGGATATCACCGCGGTTCAAGGAGTGTCTTCGTTGAGTGGTGACTCCAAGACCGCGCACCACTCCCCTGCGTGGGAAACTGTGGTTGGAAAGTGGTAGTTGAAGTGGCTGGAAGAAACCCTTTGCCCAGGGGTGGACACCCACACACACACACGCAATGAGCTTCAAGCTTCAATAGACAAGCTGTTTTGCAGCGCCGGAGTCATCTCTCAAATGCTCCGGCCACAAACAGATCAAATAGGGACCCTGGGAACATCATTAGACCTAAACCCTTACAACTATAAACCCCACCTAGTTGAGGGTAACCCCCCTTTGTCTTTCTGCATCTGCTGCCGATCCCCTAGCACCCCAGCGGAGAGCGGGGAGGACGTCCGACTGAGGAATCGGAGGTGGTCGAACTTAGTATGTTCCGATTTTAGCTATAGCGGCGTACCCACTATTGCTCGTGACCTATATGCCCCTATAGCAATTCCTATAGCAATTCGACTCGAACGCTGGTTTGTTCAATCGGAATCGGTGCTGCTGAATCCATCCACTGAGGAGCACATGCGTGATGCCCAGGCTCTGCAAGACCTTCGCGTTCACGGCGTCGTCGCGAGAGCCCAGAAAGAGATGGGGAAGAAGCTCGGCGGGCACCGTGCTTAATGGCTCGATGTAGGAGAGGTTCAGGCGAAGAAGACTCTGAAAGTCCTGGCGTTCCAGCACTATCTGTTCCTACCCTGATGGCAGCCATCGCGAGTCGCCGACACCCAAAAAACTACGGACCTCAAATACGTGGCATTGGGCTTAGTGATGTTGTTGTGGTTGGCACACTTCACTGAACAACTAACAATTGCTGTGCAACAAATAATGACCCCGAAATCCATGGGTGTGACTCATGTATATCGACATGAGAATTCATGAGTTCATCTGCATTGATGAATGGACCCACATGACACAACACTTCTCAGGCAAACATTGCTGCACATGCCCCCCAAATCCCCAGGCAGCGGTGAAATAAGGGATAGCATGTGGCCCGGGCCCGGATGTCTGAGTTGTTCTCTCGATGTTGGTGGTCTTTTGAGGTCATTGGATCGCTTCTTTTTGCGCTTTCCCAATTCACAAAATCAATGGAAGTGGAAAAGCTGCAGCCAGCATCAACCAGCATCAAGTCGGCGAGTCGCCGGTGGTGTCCTTCAGAACCGCCCCTTCTTTCTCCGATAGGCTGCCCAGTTCAGGAACGCATGCACCGGCCGTTGTCATGGCGTCATGAGCAACTTGGAATGCTGAGGAGCTGCGTGGAAGATGTTTGGCGACCGTCCTTTGCCTGTTTGAGAAACTATGTGCCATAGAGTTTCTACGCAAGCGCCTTGTTCGCCTTGAAGCATCTTGAAGAGAGGTTCTCACCCATGTCATGTCACGGCGTAGTAGATGTGGCTATATAAATCCTTATTCGCACATGTCAACACATCTCATATGCTTGCCTTCTTCATCTTGAAGGATTATAGGAAGCCAAGTAATCACATCAAACTCATGTAGCATGTTGCCGATGAATCAGCAGCTGATGAGTGAAGAAGTGACAATTGATCGAAACTCTCAACAACCTCTGCTGTGAAGTGGCACGAAGTGGTTGACTAGGTATTCTTGCTCTTTGAGCCACACTTGGCAACAAGAAACGGCCCCGGTGGCTAGCTGGCCACCAGCGACAAGCTCAACAACGATGGCAAACGGCCCCCGGTGGTTTTCACTCCCCGTCGCCATGATGGGAGTGCATGTCGCACACTCCGTGGACTCCGCACACACTGGTGAAGCGACACTGGTGAGGCATACGAACTTGACTCGCTTTGCTTTT